GGTCCATCATGGAATGCATGATGTTAACATTCCCGACAGTACTTACATGAACATCTTGTTGACGACGACCCGGGCGGCGTCGCGATTGGAACACACTTTCAGTTCCCTTGTTCGAAAACAGTTGGTATTTATATTAACGCAAGGCAGCCTTTTCGGGTGAAACATCATTTCATCAATGCGGTAAATGCAGATATCACACTCTTACCGTGCGGACTTGTAGTCCCAGAATGATTGATATGCATTTTGAGTGTGACCAGGGGCTTCCTGACCAGTCCTGACCCTACCTGACCCTACCTGATATGTCGCCCTGCGAAGCCTGATACGTCCTGATCAGTCGGCAAGGCCTGATCAGGCAAATTGGGTTTTTCCGACACAGCAATTTCATGGCGGGTTCGCGCCCCAAATTCTTCGGGAAAATAGTTCATCACACTGAGTTTAGTGGAAGGATCACTTCAACAGTGATTCCTCGCCCGTAGGCAGAAGGCCAACAGAAGGCGGGAACCAGATTTAGTGTCTGGAGCTCTTGAACCTTACCTCAAACACCCCCCAGGTTCACAAAATTTTCCCCTTGGAAAATGAAAAAAAAAACGACATCGCGGCCGAACCAACCACCCATGGTCCGGTCCGGCATTCACGGCCCGGCACCCCCCTTGGTACGTGTACGGTCTCGATTTGATAAATTTTTTTCAGATGTTCAAATAATCTCTAGTAAAGCCTTTCCTCCCGGGCTCTATTTTGCGTTGCAAACTGCACACAAAGATTTCAATATTCGGTGCGTTGACCAACCGTGGGATCCATCACCGCTTAGCGCTATCTCCGCTCGGGATTACGTTCTCTGATCTCTTCCTCCCTTCGACCACCAGCTCCACTCACCGACGATGCCCGCTCCGTCCGAATTCCTCTCGTGGGTCGACGCCTCGAAAGACCGCGTTCATCTCCCCCTCGCGCACGCCGTCTCCGGAACTTGCCTGCGCACGTATTTTTTGTTTTCCGTCTGCACCTTTTCCGCGTCAACGTTTCATCCGCGTCTACGTTGCGTCTACGGACGTACGAGGTCTATTGCCTGCTCCCGCCGCGGCGCATAGTGGGCGCTGTGCATGTCTTCGTGCGGAGCAGGATGTCGTTATCCAGTGGTATCCGTGGTGCGCAGCGGTATCGGAGCGAGTTCGCCGCGGTCCGGATCGTGCTGGTGCAAATGCCATCGACTGCGGGAGGCGTGGGCTCGAGCTTACCGTGGTTTCTTTCACGCGCACCCGCCCGAATTTATCCTCCGCATTTCCGCTCCGGCGTTGTCCTCGTGCGCCGACGCGGCGCATACCGTGATCTCCCTAAATGCCTGTGGCCTCACCTTCCTTCCTTCCCTCCTCCTCTTTCCCTCTTTCGCCGCTGCCCATTCAATCCCAACACCCACATTATTAACAGGTGTCTTTGGCCGCACAGTCCGCAACCATGAGCTCATGGCCTGGCTCGTGGACGCGCAGAGAGGATCTCGGTGCCGGGGCAGACGATATGGTGTCGGCTGAGGGGCTGGAGGAGCGGTACGTCGTACCGCTCCATGCTCTTTCTCTTTTTCTTTCCTTCTTCGAATTCTGCCTGCGCTGGACGGGGGCGGCCTTCCTTTTTGCAGGGGTTTTGTTTGTGGGCACGGGGAGAGCGTTTCTTTGGAGTGTGGAATCGCGGCAACGGCGGCGGCGGGGGACGCGAGGAGCTGGGTCGACGCGTGCGATGTCGAGGACGATGAGCTGTCCCGCCGCCCCGATGGATCCTCTCTATCTTCCGCGCGTCGTTCCCTTCGTGGCGACGATTCAGCTGGTGCTGGTGCTGGTCTGCTTCCGCAGCGCGCTACATTTTCTTCCTACCTTGCGCGGTGCAGCTTGAGGAGAGATTTCGCGCGGAGCCATTTTATTTCCCTGCCCACGGGCGCTCGCTCGTGCGGCGCAAGTCGCTGCAGAGAGGCGCGGCGGCGTTTACTTGGCTCATGCGTATCCGCTCGCACGCGGACGCCTTTCCTGTATCGTTTGGGCCGCGTTATCGTTTCCTTGGGGCGGCGTCTTTTTTCGGCGCCCGTGGGGCAGCTCTCGGTCTCGGGAGCGGTGTCGATTGACAGCTAGAACGCCTCTCTTTTCTGGCATGGTCCGCGCGCCGGTGCATTTTCGTCGTCCGCGCGCGCGTGCACGGTGTCGACGCGGACGCGCTGCTCTTCATGGCGTATGCATCCGCGCTGCCGTTGACGTTGCTGGGATTTTCCTTCTTTGTCTTGGGTTGCATTTGGGACGTCTGGGTGCTTGGGATCGGGATCGGGATGGACGTAGCTCATCTTCGTTCTCGTCGTCAGCCTCGGGCGGTCTGCGGGACCGAGATCTCGGTGGTCCTCTGTTTCCTTCCCGCGGTCTTCGCGCTTTCACTTTTCCTCCCCATTGCACTTCGTCTTTCTGCGCGGTACCACAGATCCACTTTCGCTAGATGACGTTCGGGTGTCTGCCTGCGGTTGACCGCTGTTGCATGCATCTCTACTGGTGATATTCGGGACTGCGTAGAAAAATGCTTACAGTACTCAGTAGAAAAATATAATTAATCTGGTCCCCGCTCCCAGTAAATATCATTCAGGTATTGTTGGCCCCTACCAATAAGTAATCCGTCCTTTTGTTTTTGTTGCTGCTCTCGGTTTGCCAACTGGAAAGGCTCACCACGAATCATAAAGCAATATCAACGAATCAGTAATGATCGTAGTAACGGTCGGGTCACAGGCCATACGGACGCCCACACCTGCCACAAAATGACCGACATGCATGAAGATGGTGAAGCTGGTTCTTACTTGGTGTTAATCCCCACCCGAGATATGCTTATGCGCTCCTACAGACCGTGACGTCCGTCCTGGGGATTGGGAAAAGATGAACCTCTTGATCGCCAGCGACGCACCAACTGACTCGAGTGAAATGATCATACGCAGGGGAGTAGCCTGTGGTACTGACCTGGTCACTGAACCAGGACTCGCAACGGACGCGGGAGTTATGACACCCTCAAACTCATTAACGGTGATGTTTTCATGCCCGCCGCCTTGGCCACTCATTCCTTATATCCCATCAGGTGCCCATTTACAAAGACACGGAGCTTCTACCCCCTGACTACGACGACATGTTGCTGGATCATCCTATATTCTTCCTCTCCAAGGCCTTGTCAATGACAAAAACGGGAAACTCATTGGGTTTGTGCTGCCATATCTAGGTGCACGTTCCCTGCTATGGTACAGTGGGGAATGGACGACAGACCAAAAGATTTTGTTGACCGCAAAACTCATGGATGCCGTCAACGATATCTGTCGCAGTGGAGTTCCCCTTTCAGACCTCAAACGAGGAAATATACTGTTGCAGGAGGGGTGCATAAAGATAATTGACCTCGATACAAGATCATACACAGGCAACTGGGGGCTCGATGTGCGGAATTTGACAGTACGGTCATTCGGAGCCACTATCGCGGGCTTGTGGTGGGAGGACAGCTATCCCTCCCAAGATATAGGCCCTCCAGATGCGCCAGACTATATCTCTGACCTCATCCGGGCGTGTTTCGTTACGACCACGTTCGAAGAGATCTATGCACAGTTTTCTGGCTCCATTAAACCCCCTCCAGTCGAACTTCACCGTTCCTCCTCTGGTACCGCCGAGGCGTGGGATGGAGATCCGCTAGGTGAGCTGGTCATCCAAAAATTGGGTCACCTCTGACTCCGGGCTCAGTAGATGATGTTGAGCTTTTGGGACTGGCCGTCTCAGATTATTAGTCTCTCAAAGCAAAGAAATGGGGCTTAATCCCCCCGGCGTGCAGATGAGTTGAATATTGATTGTTTCTCGTACCTCTCTTGGAGAATATGGTCTCCGGCAGATCCCAACGTGGTGAAAGGAAACCACGCAACGGTCAACTCAAAGGAATCAAATCTAAAAGAAATAGATTCGGAAGTGCGGGTGAATATTGAAAGACTGTTGAGCACTTACTGCATGAAGAAGTGGGTGTAGAAGGCCGATGTGGTGCACAATTGCTCTCAATACTTCCAGTACCTTTTTTAAATTTCTTCATCCTGATTATGTGGGCAGATATGTTCATCACACATTTTACGACCGGCACAGTTCGCGTCGACTGAATGCATTGTGTCGTGTGTGGTCGAAAGGGAACATGAGTTCCTAAGAGAAATGAAACAGTAGACATACTAGGTCAACTTGAACTTGAACATTCAACAATCACACTAAGTGGACAAAAAGGTCCGATCCATTTTTGACGACGAAGGTAGATTTAGCCATGAAACAAGAGGGCGGATCGTTGAGAAAGGAATGCCGACCTCGTATGCACTTTGATCTGATCAAAATATCCTGATCCGCAACCGTGGTGCCGGAAATAACGCAGTTCACTGGGATCGACTCTTGCAATTTTGTTTTTTAGGAAGAATGAGGGAGCCGAGATTGTAATTTACTGAAAGTAGATGATTTTTACAAGTTGAACTAAGGAAAAATATACAGGGGTTCAAACGTTCAAGCGCTATGGCGCCTACAAAATCGTCAAAAAGGCCAAAATTGCACCGAAAATGTCCGAAAATGGCTCAATGCCGCCAAAATGGCCCTTTTGCAGGGCCTGTGGCAGGTTTTTGCCTCAATATTTTTGTATGACTCAACTTGGGAATGCATGAGGAGGCCTTGAAGTGTCAGATGGGCAATTTGGTCCACCCCTGAAAGAATATTTGAGGGAGTTGAAAAATCAGAATTTCCGGTTTTTCGCGTATTTGGCTCGGAGTGATATCGGATCATAACATTTTGATGGGTTCAAGTGAGGGAATATCTTCGTCCCCTTCCCCTCAACAGTGTGGCACCTTGTTTCGTACCAAAATGTACAGTGGTTGTCAAGAAAAAGTCCGAAAACCAATCGACATTCTTTTTGTTCACTTAGTGTATGTCCTCGGCCCCTCTTTATTAAAATAAAGGGATACACATATTGGGTCGAGGTGAAAGAGGAGGAACGCGGATGTAGTGCATGGTTCACCACTGCTACGACTATGTTTGTGGTCGGTGTTTGATCAGCAGTTCGACGGGGTTCGACTCCCCGCGTCCGCATGAAGTCAGGTCCTTGCGGTTTTTCTTTTCTTTTTCATTCCGGTCCTAGCCTAGCCGCTGGTGTCCTCGGGAGAAGATAATCTCCGGTAAATCCCAACGTGGTCGAGGGAAACGGTAATCCACGCGTGAACAACGCGTGAACCAACTCAAATCAACACGAAACAGATTCAGATGTGTGGGTGGGTGCTATTGAAAGAAATCTTGAACTCTTAGCATCAAGAAGTGGGTGAAGAACGCGGATGTTGTGTACGGTGCACACCTGCCCCAAATTCATGAGTTGGTTGGGTGAAGCAGCTTGACGGGGTTCGAATCCCCGCGTCCGCATAACGACATGATGCGATTTTCTTTTCCCGCGAGTGCCGAGCCTCCTTAGTTAAAATAATATAGCCGCCCATTGAGAAATAGATACGGATAGCACAGCTCATGTAAATTGTGATGACATACCAAAGGTTTTTGTGAAACCAACTTGCACTGTCGCACAAGCTGAAGTGCCCGAATCAATATGTCGGAAACATCTTTACTGCCTGCTCAGGGAAAATATGCTCAAATATTGTCATATCAGGCCGTCAGACTACCGGGGGGTCAATATGATCCAGAAATGTACCGTTTTCAAATATCAGACTGGCCAGATCATATCGGCAATATAAGGCCTGGTTAGATGGTTTCTGTTCGGAAAGCAAAACTCTGACCCTCCTTTCTACCACTTGAAGGGAGGGCTTGTCGCATCGTAAGCTGGACCAGAAGAACATATGTATGTATTCTAGTGTAGTAAGTAAGTAAAGCACAATAGTTAGATTTATAATCTCAATAGCTACTTAGAGACATTTATCAACATGCACGCACGCGCATACACCTGAGGGACCCACTGGAAGGTCATGACTTGAGTTATGTACCTGGCTCCGGGCAACGGGTGGAGGCCCCACAGCGGCTCCACAACTCACATAAGTACCAAAATATAATTCTGGAAAATATTCCAGGTGAATGGGTGGTGTTGAGAGACCACAGTATTAGTTTGAGGACTCCCAAGGAGCTTTGAGGACAAGAAGAATGAGGTGGGAGGGGGGGTAGGATATTTGAACATAAATGGTCTTACCACGCCTGATATTGCTCGCGCCCCGGCAATATCAGATCATTTCAGGTCGTTAGATGGTTTCAGATCTGATAGGTCAACAAAGATTTTTCCGACATTATTGGGTACGTACTGCACAGTGCACAGAGGAAGCTTAAGTGGATGTAGAAAGCGGATGTTGGCGTGAAACTTGTGAAGGCGTTGAATGCATCCAAGAATGAGAGGACAACGCGGATGTGGTGCACGGTGCACGACTGCTTCCACTGTTGGGGTTATTCCAGTAGGGCCATTTGAAGCAATTGATTGGGGTTCGATTCCCCGCTCCGCGTCGTGCAATTTCCCGACTGGATAATTCTTTTTGAAGGGGTTCAATAATTTCTGGTGCTAGCTATTCCGTTCACGGCGGGCTCAATTTTGCCCCGCGTGTGCATATTCAGACAACTTGGATTTTGTTCCCTGCTCCCACCATATTTATCGGCGCTTAGACCAACCGTGGGAACCATCACCCGCTTCTCGATCAACAACGTTATCTGATCGCTCTCTTCCAGCAGACTCACCGCAACGATGTGCGCGCGCTCTGAATTCCTGTCCTGGGTCGACGCCTCCAAAGACGTGTTCATCGCGCGCCTCGCCCGCGCCGTCTCCATCCCCTCCATCTCCGGCGATCCCGCCTACCGTCCCCGCGTCCAAGAGATGAGCGATTGGCTCAACGCTGAACTCAAGAAAGTTGGAGTCGAGACCAAACATATTGACTTGGGGAACCACGTTATGGATGGACAGACTCTTCCCCTGCCCAACGCGATTTTAGGGTTGATTGGCGATGACAAGAACAAGAAAACGATTCTGATTTACGGACATTTTGACGTCTAGCCCGCATCGCTGTCGGACGAGTGGGCGTCCGAGCCGTTCACGCTCACCACGCGCCCCGACGGCCGACTCGTGGGTCGGGGAAGCAGCGACGACAAGGGCCTGGTGTTGGGCTGGCTCGCGGTGCTTCAGTGGCATCACGAGACGCAGACGCCCTTGCCCGTCAACTTGAGATTTTGCTTTGAGGGGATGGAGGAGAATGGGAGCGACGGGTTGGATGAGCTAGTGGAGAAGGAGAGGGAGGGTTGGTTTGGGGCGTGGATTGTATGTGTATCGTGAGTCGGGTCTTATTCTTCTTATTCTTTCTTTCTGTTTTATTTATGGTGGCTAATGGGATGGATAGAGCGACAATTACTGGCTCAACACGCGCAAGCTCGCGCTCACCTACGGGCTCCGTGGGCTTGTCTACTTCAAGATTAACGTCTCGGGCCCGGGGCGCGATTTACATTCCGATGCGTACTCGGTCTCGTCATTCTCAATTGCTTTATTTCCCGCGTTGTGTTGCACCAACGCGCAACGCGTTCTGCTGGGGATCCGTCCGTGCTCGCGATGCACTACTTTCTCCCCGTTACCTGCCCTTCGTGCGTTATTGTCGCGGTATCGGCGCCCTATAAGCGCATTTATCCTCGCGCGTTATCGCACGCATCTACCCGCCACGTCGGCCACGTCCGACACGCTTCCATGTCATGCTTGGCTTGCTTACCCGCTCGGAAAGGGAAATCGGAGACACGCGCGATAGAGGTCGTGGAGGCAGCAGCGCTCTACTGGTACCCGGGTGGAACGAGGACGGAGAGATAGAAATGGGCGTGTTCGTGCGATGGAAGTGATCCACCGCCGCTACCGGGACTCCAGGAGGACGAGCAGCGGGGGTTGCTCCGTCCTGCCTGTCCTTGTGCTACCAGCGCTCACGATGGTGCTCGGGCTCGTGCTTGGCGAGCCGGCATACCCGTTGAGGTAGAATTTGGATGTGGGTCACGTTCGCGGGATTGTCGGGACGCCGAGGTGGATGCGCGGTGGATGTGTGAGCGGCGCGCGCGCTACGTTCGTTGGTGGGAGGGGGTCGTAGATGTAGAGCCGTTGTCGCTGCACTGCGGACGTCAAGCCGCGGGGCTGAATGAGGCGTGCTTCGCGACGCCATCAGCGCGGAAGGACGAAGGAGGACGTCGCGGTGCAGCACCGCATCCATGTGGTCCTGCTTGTGCTCATCATACTTACTTGGGGTCGTCGCGTCGCGGTGAAGGTGGACCAGCCGCGCAGCCGGGGCGGGGACCGGGAGGAGCTGCGGGTCGCAGCGGAGCATGTCGTCTTTTCCATCTTTCCTCACTTGGGAGAGTGAGACAGCTCGGGCCTCGTACAGATGCGGGTCGACGTTGATGGTAGCGCGGCTTTGTGTTTTTTTTTCCTCCTCGTATTGTGGAGGCGCAGATACAGGAGGGGTAGGACACACAGCACGCTCTCGTGTCCCCACTTTGTTATCTGCGTCTTTTTCTTGCATCGGCGGCACCGATTCGATTTTCCCCATCTTCGTGTGCGGCGGGGAGTGGGACGCCGCCTGACTTCGGCGTTGTTTGGGGCCGTTTTTGGGTCTTCGTGTGTGCGCATCTTGGTGTTCCTTAGCCGCCGCGCAGAGGGGGAGGATATCATGACGGTCATCATTGGCGTCGTAGACGCGTGCAGGATCCTCGCATTATGCGACTTCGTGGTGCAGTCTCCACCCGCAGACGCATCCTCAGCTTGGCGCGGACGTACATGCACTCCACCCTCGCATTGTTTTCCCTCCGCGCACGAATATCTTCTTCTCTGTCTATCCGCGTCATACCAACTTCTGTTTCTTTACCTTTCTCCCTCCCTCGTACTGATATATTATCTTAACAGGCGTATCCATCCGCACAGTCCACGAACCCATGACGGACCTCGTTTCGCTCATGTCGCGGCTCGTCGGCGCGCAGGGAAGGGTCCGGTGCCGGGGGTGGATGAGATGGTATCGAGGGCGGGGGTGGTGGAGGAGCGGTGGGTGTTTTTCATCGAATTTTACTTGGATATGGGGGCGCGGACGCGGTGTGCGGGAAGGACGCGTGGGCGCAGGTGGAGGGCAATACGACGTGGCTTGCTGCGTTCGCGGGGGTGGCGCAGTGAGGGGAGCAGTGAGGGGAGCCGAAGGCTCGACTTCTGTCGACGCGTATTCGTATTCGCGGGTGCGGATGCGGATGCGCGGTCCAGTGGAGCACGGCGGACGGCGTCGTGGTACTGTACGCGCATCGGGCTCTCCTCGTACCCGGGTACACCTGCCTGCGTACTCGCGCAGGACGCGCTGGGTATTGGGCACCGTGATCTACACGTGCGCAGCCCGGGCTCGCACTGGCTGGTGTGATCGTCTGCGATTGTCGTCGCGGGTGTCTATACGATTGGCGGTGTCAGCGTCTGCTTGCTCGGAAGGACGTTGGGGTCTTCTTCACGCGCGGCCGGCGCATGCATGGAGTACACTCTCCACGCGGTGGTGTACGGGTATGGGCGTCCGCGGGTGTCTCGAATTCCTCCCTTCGGGTAGGCTGAGGTCGGATACGTGTACCCTGCGCGGGTGCGCGTCCGCCTCGGTCATCTGCACCAGCTTCGACGCGCTCTCTTGGCCATCACCCTTTCTTTCCTTTCTCTTTTATTCCTGGCCTTTCCTTCCTGCCTTCCAATCATTCCACATGTACTAATCAATCGTCTTTGTTGAAGGTCCATCTACGAGCACTGGACTACAGCATCACCGACGTCGAGCGCGCCACGGGGGGCAAGAAAGCGCTGTCGGTGGATAAGGTGCGCGTTTCTTTACCTTGCTCTTCGTCCCCTCTGCTTTTCACGGAGGAACATTTATTTTTATTTTCGTTTTTCGCCTTCTCTTCACTGTGGAGCGGAGAGCGGATGCGGTGGCCGGGAATAGATAGGAAAGAGGCGGAGATGAGGGCGCGGACTTCGCATGCACAGCGTGCTCTTCGTCCGCGAGAAGGTGGTGGATGCGTGCTGACCAGGATACCGAGACGGAGGTGCTCGTATCGCGGCGTCAGCGGGCGGCCGAGCTGGTCGAGACTGTCGGGCGCAGAGGTGGAGATGGGCGGGCGTTTTTCTTGACAGGCATCAGCGGTGGGCGGTAGATACATGTACGCACAGTGCTTGGGGGAGGTGGAGCGCGCGCCTGCGCCGTTCGCGAAGGGTGGGGACCGAGTATTTGCTGGGTGGGGTCTTCGTCCTCATCCTCGCCTCGTCGAGCGGAGGGATTCGACGACTTCCAATCAGTCTTGCGCAGGGTTCTTGTGCTCGTCGCGTCGGGGTGGGGTTGCATGAGCGGCAGCAGGGGGAAGGGGACGAGGGCAGGCCGAGGGAGAATGTCATGCTCTGGCTCGCA